TCTCTCTCTGCCCCCTGACCCATTACCTCCCTCTGCCCCCTTTCCTTCTCCCTCTGCCCCCTTTCCGTCTGCCCTTTCTCTGCCCTCCTTCCTTTGCCCCCTTCTCTTCTACCTTTCTCTCTGTTCCTCTTTTATTCCTCTTCTCCTTAATCTGCCCTTCTCTCTCCCTCTTTCCCATCTCCCATGCCTCTAGGAGAGATTTCCCCCCTCCCTCCCTTTGGCCCAGATAGGAATGGGGAAAGGCTGCCCCTCCCCTGGCAGTGCCACTGTGGTGCTGCCTGTGCCCCGAAGCTGCAGGGCCTGTCTGTATTTGGGCGCGCTGGAGCTGGGTGCATGAATGCGTAGGCTGTCACTGACACCCAGCGTGGGACACTGTCAAAGCAGGGGAAATGTTGCAAACGGCAGCCTGCTAATTTAGGGGCGAGGCGGGTTAGGAAAGCCAGGGGGTGTCACAATCTGAGGAGGCTGTTTGTTATGGGATGATGATGGTGGTTTGCTGGTGTTTAAACCATGTCCCTGATTGAAAAATGTTACCGAGGGAGTAATCAGGCTGCCATGTGTCTGCTGTTTGTATTCTGTGCTGCTGAATCAGCCCATTTGTAAACGTTAAACAAAATATATTGAAAGGAAACATCCTATGCTCTTGGGACCATAAAAGCAGCTATTTAGTTCGTGTTTCCTGTAATAATAGCAGTTTTGTTTGGTGTGTGTTTAGGGGAGGAGGGAGGGCCCAAGTTCTGGTGTGGTATTATGTTTGTAAAGAGTATTGTTGGGCATTATCCAGCCTTGGCCAAAGGATATCACTGTCATTCTTGGAGAGGCCCAGACTGTCACTAAACCTTGACTGTACATAAAGGGTATAGAAGACAGAAAGTGAGAGCGAAATCTGCACCTTTTCGCTCAGGGCTTGCAGTGCTCTAAACAAGTGAATACGTTGGATCGTTTGAGTGTTCCGATGAGATCACCTATGTAACATTGCATTAGTTTGTGGAAGAGTGAGAGGGAAAACTCCATCAGGTAAAATAAATGATCACGTACAGCACTGAGGGAGAATAGCTGTTTGTGCTGTTTCAGAACCTGCAACCTCTATTTCTATGCCATGCTAGCTTGATAAATGCTAGCTAGTCAGAACAAACGGGATATGCGGGAATACACTGTTTCACACTTTTACACTGAAAACGGGTACAGGACCGAATTTGGGATCCAGTCGATGCTAAATTAAAACAGGTGTTGCAAGGCTTGTGGTTTTTTTTGTTTTTGTTTTGGTCGCAAGCCCTTGCTACTTGAAATTAACGAGTGACATATCTGTTCACAAGTTTTAATTCAAGATCTTGCAATGGTGTTTACCACAGTTATCTGCTATATTGTCATCTCGATCTGTTGTGTTATTTAGACAGCAATGTCTTTTTTTTTTTTTCTTTTTCTTCTCTGGACTGTCTTCCAAGGTGCTTTGTCAACAACAAACCTTCCATCCTCATCACAATGCTCTCTGACACACAGATGGCAAAAACATTCTATCTAATTTATAGCCCAGCTTGTTGTTTTAGTTATTTTCAGCTTTTAAGTATGATCCCTATGCCACTGTCTCTGGGCTCATGTATGTAGTTAAAATAGTGTGTGGTGCATACAGCAAATATTAAGTAGTCACCCCATCTTTAGTAAGTCTATAAATAAGTTCCCCAGCCCTCAAACAAAAGTCTTAAGTATATAGATAGATATTGTACTGTGCCCTGCAGGCTTAAGAAAAATTCAAGCTCTTTTGAGCCAGTGAAGGCCCTGTAAAAACCCCTGGCACTAACACCCAGGCTTTCAAATCTGGGGATGCTTGGGGCTTGTCTTCATTGCAGTTAACTTGAGTTATAACTCAAGTGTTGCCCTGTCCACATGCAAAACCGCTTAGCTCAGTGTGGTGATGCTTTTAACTCAAGTTGGCTAGCCCGTCAAGAAGTACAGATTTAACATTTTTATTCAAGTTAATGTTTAAAATTAAATATACACAAGTGAAGAGGGAAGGTACTGTACATCTGGGGTCCGGCTTGAGTTCTGAGAGATTTCAGGTATCTGTTAGAAGGATGAAGAGATATGTACATATCACATAACCAGCATAGACCCAGATTGGGGTGTGGGAGTTTTTAGAGCGTCAATGGATAAGTGGGCTTGGGTACGCCTCCCATGGAATGTATTAAGAGTCCAAGTCAGTATCGGTGTAGCTGGTGTTAGCCTAACACCCTCAGCTGCTAACTTGACCACTGCGTGCAGCTTGTGTTATTTTGCAGCATGGCTGCTTTCGCAGAGCTAAGCTAACTTGTGAAGAGTTAGGGTGACCAGATGTCCTGATTTGATAGGGACAGTCCTGATTTTGGGGTCTTTTTCTTACATAGGCTCCTATTACCCCGCACCCCCGTCCCAATTTTTCATACTTGTTATCTGGTCACCCTACGAAGAGTTCACTGTGCAGTAAAGTCATACCTGTAGTGTGAGCACTTTAAACCGACTGCAATGGTGGTGCATGGGGAGAGAAGTGTTTCTCGTGTAGCTAGGACCCAAACAATATAGGGCTTCAAAGTTCAATGTCCACACCTTAAATGGCACCTGGAAGCCAGTGCAACTTACAGGGTACTGGTGTTTCTTCTGATTAGGGCTCCGTGTCTGTCATGGATGTCGCGGAAATCATGGCTTCTGCAACGGCCGGTGTGGCTGACCCCAGGGTTTCCTGAGCAGCGGCCGATGCAGCTGGCCCCTGGGATCACCTGAGCACTGGTCCCGGGGTGGCGGGAGCAGTGACAGGTGGGAGGCCCCTGGGGTGTTGGTGCCGCTGGCTGGCCTCAGTGGCCCCCCCCCAGGGCAGTGCCCCCCTTCCCCCAGAGCAGCGCCCTCCTTGGCCCCCAGCTACAATTTAATCATAGCTATTTTCAGTAAAAGTCATGGACCGTGAATTTTTGTGTATTACCCATGACCTGTCCATGACTTTTACTGAAAATACCCATGATTAAATCATAGCTTTACTTATGATCAGTCTCCTTGAGCAATCATGTGGCCAGTAATCCAGTCTGTTAGGCCATCAGAGCAAGGAGCTTCTAAATCAAGCTCCTAAATCAAGACAAATGGTTATCACCACCCCGTTTTGCTCCCCTCAGGCACAGATTAAAAAAAGTGTTTTAGGCCTCTGGGATCTAGATGCACCCTATATTGTGAACCTCTGTGAGAGTTAAGTTGACAAACCCAAGCAGGAATGATGACCATATACTCAGTGGCTTCCTGAAACCAACCAGGATTATTTCCAATGTACCTAGATTGAGCCTCAGACAGTTTGCTGTCACATAAGCACAGGTACTTACCTCATCT